TGTTTTCCTTATTGTTGTAAGCAATGATAATCAGGCAAATTTTTTAATGTCTAGTATTTCAGGGATTTTACTAAAAGGACATTAATTATAAATCTGAAACTCAACAGTTAAAATTCTCAAGACTATGAGCATGCTGAAGAGGTAAGAGTTCAGATTCCTATTACTAGTGACTGGGGGTTAAGTTTATAAATTATATATCTGATCTTGTACCTTAATTTAGGATAATTAGCCTCATAGATTTTTTTTTTTAACAAATGTGTAAAACTTCATTGCTCTTTCCAGTTTGCTTTTTTAGGGAAATAATGTGATTAATTAATGAAGTAATATCTATAAAATGAGAATTTGGGATGAATAAAATAAGGTTTTACAAATTCGTCTTTCTGAAAGAGTTCTCGTCAGCTGTACTTACTGTCTACTGTTTTCTTGATGTCTGTTTCTTACAACATCTAGCATAATCTTTATTTTTATGAATTACTTTAATCAGAGGCTTGATTAATTTGCTTTTTTCTTACCTTGGGAATTTAAAAAAAAAAAACTAAATATGATCTCTCCTTGCAGATATATTACTTTTAAGATGATTGTTTGTTACAATCTCATGCATTAATCAAAAAGTAATGTTACTTCATTTACATACCAGTTTCATTTTTGTTCCACTGGGTAACATAGGATTTTTAGCAAAACAGAAAACAAGAAAAAACACACAGAGACCGATGAGAGTCATCAGGCACTTACGGTGACACACTAGTCATGTTGTATGTGGTGCTACTGCCTGTACTGATGGGAAAGGCACTAGTAGTCTGCTTACTCTGTGAAGGGCGACATGGATACCAATCTGAATTCTACTTTATAGTATTCATTATAAGTAATGAATTCATTACTTTATAGTATGAAGGCATAGAAATGATATGTCTATAATTAGCATCCTTCTTCACTAGTTTAAAACACACACACACACACACACACACACACACTCTACTTGATCCAGTACCTAGTGAGGAATTTTTATATTTATGTCTATACCGGGCAAGTCCATCTGTTGTGACAGTGCCTAATAAAAGAACTGCCACATTACATAGACTGAGAATTTGTGTTGATGACTGTGTTACAGAAGACATAGGAAAATGTCCACACCAAGGCCTCTCCATGATACTCGACATTCTAGTAGTACCTTCTAAGAAAATAAGTATGATTGAGACACTTGAATCAGACATACTCTGCCGGAGAAGTATAAACTCTGAGATCAGGGGGTGGTTTTCTTCCCCACAGCAGGGAGGGAAGCCCATGTGCACCAGGCATCTGCAGCCCTTACTGAAGTGAGGCTAGGACAGGAACAGGTAGCTCCTTAGGCATTTCAACTGCTAGTTTCTGAACAGCACAGAATATATAAGATGAAGCCTTGTACATCTGGAGAAATGGTCTCTGTTCTTCCATCTATAGTAGCAGATTAAAGTCTCTGCCCGTTAAATCTAAGAGCATAGATTCTATTGACAGCTTTGTTTTTCCTGCATATGAACATACTTTCTGGCTCATAATTTTTATTGTTGATAAAACTGGACATTTAAAATAAAGTGACACAGGGCCTACCTGGTGGCGCAGCGGGTTGAGTGCCGATCTGTGAAGCTGTCCACAGCCTCTGCAGTGTGGGTTTGATTCCTGGCCAGCCAGGGAGAAACCCACATGGTGCAGCAGACCTCTCCTGCCTCACCCGCTGCTCCCCTCAGCAGTGCATTTTGGTCACTCTCCCTGTTTTGCTCCCCACTCTGTCTCTGGTAAATTCTCTCACCCCCCCCTGCACCTCTGGTCTATACTCAGTTCTTATATAAATAAATAAATCTTAAAAAAATAAAATAAAATAAAATGACACAGTAGCAACTCTAGAAATCAATTCTCCTCCCTTCCCCAGGAATACTTATTACTCTTACTTTGTTGGGGAACTTTTCTAGACTAACCCAAGTCTGTATTCCTTGTCATATGCGGCCACTGGGGTCTCTGCTAGGTTATCTCAGTGGTCAGCTCACGACTAGACTGTTTCCTTAACCACCTCTAGCCAGGGAATGTTCCATCCTTTGTGGAGGTGTCGGCTTGTTGGAGCACACCAATGCTGACAGTGCACATAGCTTGACCAGGGCTTTCACTTTCTTGTCTGCGTAGTAACAGCATCTACCAGAGGTGAGGGAAGAAGGCCTTGCAGGCCTTCTCAGTCTTTAAGGGGCCTGTGCACAGCCCTGTGCAGGTATGTGATCTTCAGCAACCCCAGGAATATTTTTGAAAGTGAGAGCTTCAAAGCCAGATGTCTCATTAGGTTTTGGCCTGTCAGTTTTTTGCCCCAATTGGTATTTATGTCCCTGGCAGCTGAGAGGCTGACTATTACCACCACTGCTTCTGACAAATATGTTGGAATATTTGTCAAATGGTCAGTTAGGTCAGAAGTCAAGCTCTGCAAATGGGGACTTTCCAGAGAGCTGCCACCCAAGCCAAAGTGGAGTATGTGTCTGAAGAGGGCTTTCTGTGGCGCCCCGAGGCTGGCATGCTCTCCCAGGCCTCCATGTGGCTGCCTTTCACAGTTACTCTGGCTCTGAGGCTGCTAGCTCTTAGAGCTATGGTGGTGCTGCAGAGAAGGGGTGGGAATGAGGCAGTGAATGCTCTACGAGACTTGCAGCTCTACTGAGCCTGCACTATTACTCTGCAATAAATACTCCTTGGGAAGAAGCCTTTGTTAGTATTCAGAATGCTGGAAAAAAAAATGATTTTGGCCATTTTTCTAGTATGCTCATTGTGGTTATGGAGAAGTTGATTTACAGAGGCCCTCAGTCTGCCATTCCGAAAGTTTATCAAAGGCTATCAATATTTGTGCAATTTCTCTATCTGAACTTGATTTTAGCATACAAAATCCAGAAGGAAATGGGCAGTCACTTGTAATTATTTTTGATCTTTTCTGGGTTAGTAAGATACTTTCGGGAATCTAATAAAAGCTAAGGACTATTTCTGCAAAAAAAAAAAAAGTATATATAGTTTTGCAGAATTTTAATAAATTCATGACTATCTAATGCCCCCTTCTATGGAACCCTGATTTGCTGAGGTGACTTGTACCTTCATCTTTATAGATTTGTAAATTACAGACATTTTTTGGTCTATGTTCTGTAGGTCCATTTGTATCCATAACAGTGTCACACATGTTAGCTACACCATCCAGCTCTTTAGGGCGCCCTTCCCTGGCGACCCTGTTTATGTGTTGGTTCCCTCAGTCTCCAGCCCATGCCATAGCTTCATTTTCCTTCACGACACTGATCACTATTTCAGATTTCATTATACCTTTAATCGTTTCCTATCAGTCTGCTTCACAAGGCAGGACTATTTTCTCCCCTGCAATTGTATCCCAGAAATAACTGCAGTCCCCAATGCAGAGCAGGGAGTCTTTTCAATGGTTAGAAACACCACAGAACATGTCTGACCATGGCAATTTGTGACATCTGAGTTCATCTCAATTCATCAGTTTTCTAGAACAAAATTGTTAAGCTTTCAGGGGGCTAAATGGAATGGTAACAGGGGATGTGTAAGTGAAAACAGTGAGCTGTTTAAGGATGACCCGAATACAGTCTACAAGGTAACCTCAAGCTCAAAAACCTGAGCATGACCTGGCAATATTGTCTCTGCTATAGGTGTTCTCTAGACCAGAGAGGCAATTAAATACACAGATACAGTCTGTCTCTCTCAAAATGTATCAAATACTATAATGTTTCCTGTAAACAAGAATGCTCCTGAAAATTCAGCAGAGTAGTGTGCTCTTAAATATATATGCACTTTTCCATTTGGATAGTGATTACTTGCTGATTGATTCACACCCTTTTACCCAATGTCACAGTGAATAATAGATCACATCTTTATGATGCTAAAGGAGTAGTCTGTGTTTACAAAAGTCTCAAGTAACTCCAAATCAAGACTTAACCATTGAATTCCACTGACTGAACTGAAAGACAAACCCTTCTATACAATAAACACTGAATATGTATTTGTTGTTCTAATACATTACAGAAAGAATAAAAAACTAATGAACACAAAAGCAAGAATAAAAGCACATGTTACTATACTACTGTTATTTTAATATAGATGATACTTCCAAATATGTTTAATTTTTATGAAAAATGGATAGCTAAGGTGTTCTTGAGAAAAGACTTAAATGACACCTTTCAAAACATTCATCCTGGATAGTAAAGCATTTCACCTTTTCGGGCTTCATTAAGATTAGTTAATGAGTCATAAGAAAATCTCCTGGTTTTCTTTCTCTCTACATACAAAATTGTAATACACAATTGAATGAATAGTGGTAGTGTACATAATGCTCTGAATGTTACTTTTTGCTTTTCATACTTGTTTAGGGGAGACTTATTCAGGTACCTCATTCTAATACAAAAATAGAACTTTTAAATACAATTAAAATAGACCCTGGCAAAGTCAATTCTGGAAAAATTAATATAGTTTTAAATTGTTCAGACAGATCAGATATACACATGCAGATTTTCAAAACTGAACACCTGAAACATTTAACTCTATAATGCAGTATTATAATGCAATATTACTTCACTTAAACACTTTGTATGTCAGTCATACTTATTGATATGTGTCTTTTATGAGACCATAGGGATTATTGTAAGGTTTTATTAATTATTAATACCAACTACAGGTATATAGATATGCAAACTATATTTATAAATCCATTGAATTGAATTGCTTCCTACTCATACACTATTTCTATTGATTTTGTATATGTACAGAAGCAGCTTAATATAGTTCCAATGACTAAACAAAAAGGTAAAACTATAATTTACTGTTTCCAGTATCAGAAAGAGTACATTTATATATTAAAAAGTAATTTAAATATTAATGTCAAAGGGAAAATAAATATATCTACTAAGGTGATTTTAAATAAGACAAAATGATAGGGAGACTTCATTTTTGAGAAATATAAGAAGAAAATCATTACAAAGAGTAATTTTACTAACCTGACTTATTTTTCTTTGTTCTTGTATAGCTTTCTGAATTGCCTGAGATACTTTTTCTTGATCTTTTGCATGTTCGGCCTTCCATAACTCCCTTTCTTCAGCATGGGCTTTTTCCAAATTTTTCCTCTCTTCTTCTATGGCTTTTAAAATTGCATCTTTCACTGCTTCTTTCTCGAGCTTCAAAACAAATAATGACCAAAACATACATATTTGGGGAAAAAAACAAATTATTTGAAAACCAATTCCCTGAAAAAGTCAGATATGGGTAACCTAGAAGATAGAAAACTGTAATTCTATAGTTTAGTTCTGTCATAGTTCATAGGCTATTTCCTCTTGGGATCATTTTGTACTTTTAACGTATGATGGACTTTACTTAATAAACACTTCATATATCAGTCATACTTATTGATATGTGTCTTTTATGAGACCATAAGGATTATTTGTGAGGTTATATTTATAAATCCATTGAATTGTTTTTGTTCAAATATTAACAGATTTAAAGGGAGAAATACTGACAGCAACACAACAGGTGTAATAAATACAGCATTTCACCTGTTGTGTTGCTGTCATTGTATGTATGTAATACATGGATGGTCTTAGAATTATACTAAAAGAAACACTGATTTCACACATATGTGGTAAATATAGAAACCAACCAACCTAAATAAAACACACATGAACTTTTTGGATTATAAGATCAAATTATTTACCAGAAGGGAAGAGGGGTAGATAAATTGGGTAAAATTGGTCCATTGTATAATGATAAATGGTTGAACTTTTAGTGGTGAACTTAATGTACTATATGTAGATGTTGATTTATAATGCTGCACACCAGAAACTTACATTATGTTAAATTGATAACATTAAGTACATTGTATATTAACACATACTTTATTTTTGGAAAATATTATTTTTATAACAAAGTATGAAAATGGTATTAACATCTGATAAAAGAAGATAGCAACACTCCTGTATCTGCCTTCTATGTTAAAACTGAGGTGATATGTTTTATGGCAGTAGTATATAAAGAAAACACACTCTCGTACAGTTATGGAACAGAAGAGAGGTATATTTACTGGCCAGTTTAGATCACTGGATGGTTCCACAACAAAACCTAACACAGAATCATTCTTAAAGGTTAGTTGCAATTAAGAAAAGCATAGCACATTAATGAAATTTGTGCGGTCACATTACGATCCTTTCTCGTACTTTGAATGAATCCTTTATCTGTGTATGAATTTTTAAAACTTTTTTTAATTTGGAAAATACTGAATCATTGTAACATAATAAAAAAATGTCTAATATCACAATCTCATCAGAAAAGTCTTGAAGTATTAGAAAAGCAGAAACAATTTTTGAAAATTCTAATTTTTACTCTAAATCTTGAATTTTATCATTGGCAACAAAAACTCAGTTTTTTTTTTAAGGTGCTGGACTCACTGTGTTTACTTTGGATACTGTGTCTGCCAAACACTAAAGTCTGTACAACCCCAGTTATTCAGTAAAATGGTGTTCTATGAAAAAAGTGCCTACTTCAGTTGCAACTCAAACAACTACACAGACTTTTCCCTCAAAAAGCCCATCGTGCTTCAGTAAGCAGTCGGGGCCACTGACCTCCCAGCCCTGGTCCCTGAAGAGTTACTAGTTTTTCTCCTGCTTCCAGTTAACAGCCAAATTGGACAAAAGTTATCAAAGCTGACAGTTACCATTTTCTGAACCCCTGTTTTATTCCACAATTCTTCTCTTAAACTGTTCTTATTGTGTTCTCCTTTGCCCTCCATGATATTTTATGTTTTAATCCAATTTCTTTTCTTCAAAGTGTCACTTCACGCAGCTGACTATATCTGTTTCCTTAAAGCCCTCTCTTTTCTTGGTTTGCACCACATCATGCTGCTCATACATCTCCTATTTCTCTAGCTGGGTCTCTGCAGTTCTTTACAACTTCCTCTTTTCTTTGGCATTTAAATTTTAGAGTTACTTACAGGCCCAGACCTTGGACTGCTTGTTACTTTATATTCTCCCGTGAGGTGACAGATGATACATGACAGTCACACCCAGGGCTACCATTACCATCTATCTACTTTAAAAAAAAAAGTAGCATCTTGAGATTATTTCTTTGTAAATATCAGGTAAATTTAGTCACCTTCTTGCCTCTGTCACTTGAATATAACACTGGGAGAATATAGCTCTGGGAGTTAACAACTTGGCCCTTCTGTATCATCCACACCAAATGTATAGATGAATTCTGAAAATGCTTAGGAGATGGAATCAATCTATTTCTTTCCTTTCCAAGGAACTACTTTGACTGTTACTGCAGTAACTACTCTTTTCCTGCCATTAATAATCCCTTATCCATAATTTGAATGGATTTCTAGTAAATCTCCCTCTCTCTAACCATTGTTGCTTCCAATTCCCCTAAAGTTTATTAATTACTATTATGTCTTAAACTGAAAATTTTCAGTGTATCTTTATCTATTGAATAAAATTCAAACTTAAAATGTAGAATGCTACCCATCCTTCAAAATTCATTTTAAAAGTAACTTGTTAAAAACTCCCATTACATGGAACTATTATTTACTCATAATAGTGTATACTACATTCCTTCCTGTCTTATAAGTATATAATACTTTTCTAACCTGAATATAAATTCTTTTAATAAAAAGACAAAATCATAGTAATCCTGGAACCCTGGAATAGTGACCCACACATACAAGGCTTTTAATATTTACTAAATTTAAATCCAAATTTGAAAGTTAGTGTCTGATATGTATTTGTTGGAATATGTATATTTAACATCTATGAATACACTGTTTAAATGAGTAATTTCAAAGTTGGCTTTAAAAATCTTGATAAATAAATGAATACATAGCACACAACTTGTGATATTGATTAAATATTAATTGCATGTTAGTGTCCCAAGTATATATTCATTTTCCACAGGTAATCTAAAGGTAAAACATTTCAAAGTCATCATAGTCTTGCACAATATGAATTTAACAAGAATATGACAACTCTTTTTACTTTTCTGGCATAAAATACTGTCATACTCTACAAAGTAAGTGGACAGTGCCACTAATAGACTGGATTTAATTTCACTTACTTACAAAGAAGCACATTATGATAGATGGACATACCTCTGCAGCAGATACTAATGCCTCTTTATTTCTCTGTCTTTCTTCCTCCAAACATTTTTCCAGTATTTCCTGTAAATGGTATGACAGTTAGGTAGACACTAACTATATTACATGAGATAACAATGCATTCTTTTCACACTCAGAGCAAACAAAGTATTACCTTTTGTTCTTGAGATTGCTGAATCAAAGCTTCCTTTATTTTTTCTTTTAACAGTTCTTTCTCTGTATCTAGCATTTCAAGGAGCCTCTGATGCTATAAGAAAAGAAAATGGGGTCATAATTATGACTCTGAGACAGATAACCTGTCTACTAGGAGATCAGTTGGTATAATTAATTTTCCCAGAAGTACTGAGGTAGTTACTAAAGGAGGCAAAGGGAATGTTGCTCCAATATTAGAAGTCAAGAGGACATAGAATTCACCTTTCTCCAGTCAGCCACGATGTATGTCTTTGGCCCCCAAACTCAACATACAGGAGGTGAGATTTAACAACAACTATTCCAAATGGGAAAAATTACTTACTAAAATGATTATTACTAGCTTGCAGCAAAAGAAGCAATTGAGGCAATAGATAACTGATAGTTTGATGAGCAATTATAACAAATTGTTTCCAGCACGTCACAATTAAAGAATTTATTGAAGGATTTATTGTCCCTACCCCAAGATTTTACCAGAAACTCAAAGAAAGCATCCATGAAAAAAATTCTTGACGTGACAGCTAATGTTCAAATACAGAGTTCCTTACTTAGTTTTATTGCATCAGCCAGTTATCATGGACCATGTGCTTGGAGTTTGCAGATTTCTAAGGAAATTCAACATGTGTGGCCATAATATCTTCAATATAGAACCAAATACTTATTCTGGAATAATGTTCTTAAGGGTTCATGTTCCTATACACATAGATTTCTCAGTTAATTTCTGATTTCTCAGGCAAATAAGATACTTTCTCACACTTAGACGCCATTTATAGAAAAGCCTCCTTCAAATACAAAGTTAACCTGATGTTTTAAAACACATTCATGTCTTTCAAAGTTACTCTGACTTTAAATGTTTTTCACCAAGTGGGCTACCTTGAGAGTAAGTTACCAAAACTTTCATGTCTGCTTCGGATAATCTATGATTCCTGTTTTTAATTATAATGTTACTTTTTATCTTAGTTTTCAAAAACATAAGAAAAATCACAAGATGAATTTTTTAAAAAATAACAAATCCAAACTGTGATACAAACCATGTTATGATTATAAGAAATTACTGGCAGCATATGAATTTGTGAAGGCTGCTGACTACCAAAGCAGTAGACTTACCATATGATTATAATAATAACTGAGGCTTTCTGTGTAAGTCTAGATGCACACAAAATTTCACACAATCAGAAACTATCTAATCCTATTTAAATACACAGAAAATTTTTAAAAATGTTATACCAGGCAAATAATGAGACTTAAAAATAATAAAGCGTTCATATAATATTAAAAGTATCCAATTTAGGCTGTGGGGTGGGGTTAAACTTAACAAAAATCAGAATTAAAATATACAATAAGCATTTCAGAGTCATGAGAGTTTGAAACTGATTTCTCCTGAAAAGAATTGTTATGTTCCTGAGTCACACTAATGGAAGTCATTCAGTAATTCTAAGCAGGCCAAGTTCCTCTACTGGTCCAAATCACCTAAAATGACAATGCAGTAGGAAATCTATTCCTGAACATCATTTTGCAGTGCTGACAGAATAACTATATAGTAGGGGAATATTTCTGAACCTTATTCAGGAATAAAGCAGAAGCAACCTACAGATATGCCCTAATGTAAAACCGTGAGGGTATATTTAGGATATAAGTAAAACATACCCTATGTAAAGTCATAGATCAACTTGAGAGAAAGCAATTAAGTGACTGTCACATACAGCTAAGTACAAGTTACGTTTTAGAAACACTTTAGGTGAAACTAAAGGTATGTTTCACATGTAGTCGGCTCACACAAAAGCCTCACAGCAAGTGCTAACTCAGGCAGTATTTCTCCTGAGACTGAGAGGGGCTAAGTAACTTGTCAGGTCTCCACGGCATCATTTCTACAATAATCAGATCTGTCTACTTGTCACTAGTATTAACAATTATATAATGGGTAAAAGCAGCCCCAGCATTACCTAATTATTACTTATTAATTAAAAAGTACTTCATATGAGTTACATGGCCAATAAGGTCTCACTTCCATTTATCTTTACATGATTGACTAATGTATGCTTCTGACTTTGTTCTTTTCAGAGTAATATTAAAAAAACACAATTTTTTAAGTAAAAATCAATTGTTACCAGGAGAGATGATTCAGAAATATGCTTACAGACGTGAGGAGAGTTTAGATCTTAAACAGTTAATTTGTGAATAATCCACAAGGTGCTAATCAGGAACCATATAAGTTTGCAAAAATGCACTTTCTGTACAAGTAGCATACGGTCATTATGAAAAATGTCAAGGCATGCAAATCACTCTGATTTCCATGACCCAGAGGATCACTGACAACATTTAGGCAAAAGCCCTTCTGGATAGCTTTCTGGGTAAGTTAATACATAGATAAATGCAACATATCATATAAACTTACAAAAATAGTTCTGTAATGTTGGAACATTGCAATGATATTTCTAGTACCATGATGATGATAGAGCTCTGAAAGTGAGGGTACTTCTATGTCAGTATCTGTTTTTTTCAGAGTTCCTTTTGTTTGAGTCAGGAATTATCTCACTGGAGATGTTCCTCCTTCATTTGATCTTTTCCTCTCTATTCATAACACATTCTCAGGCACTGGGAGGAAATCCTGTGTTCCATAGGTGAGCTACATAGGAGCTGCAAAAACCTGGCTATTTCTTGGTGGTGGTAAGCTGGTCTCCAAACCTATGCTTGAACTTTTGCTTTTGCTATTTTGCTAGAGGCAAAAAAAGCCTGACTGGTTTTCTGAGTCCACCCCCACCATCCCAGGGGCCACCTGGGCTGGGGGAGGGGCAGCAAACTCACCCTGCAGCTGTGGACTTGGCTTGCTTTCATTCCCCAGCCTTTTTCCTGCCCTTCCCAAGGTCAGAGTTGAGTAGGTTTGAGTGCTGTCTGTTGTTCTGTTAGGATGTATGTGTATGTTCTGCTAGTATATACAGGGCGTCCTGAATAGAGAACAGTGGCCAGGATGGCCCACTCGTCCCATTTCCAGAGCTCTGTAATACCTAGGGCAACTCTGAGACTTTCCAGGTTTTGCAAGACTAGAATCAGCTTGCTTTATGGGCCTCAAGCCAGAGGGCTAAGATGACTACTTTCTTGCCTCTCCTGTATCCTTTGATTTTTGCCTATCTATCATCTCCTCTCATTTCTTTAACCTTTTGGTCAGGTTTAACTTTCTGATATGTTTTGCCCCATTTAGTGTGATTTGGTAAGTTTTTTGGGGGGTGGGGCCGAGATAAAGTTGAAATGTTTGTTAAGTGAATTAAACACACAAGAGTGCTTAACACACTTGTGTGTTTAATTTACTGTAAATTAAAAGGGTATGTGTGTATTCAGTTTAATTTTATAACCATACATTATGTGACAGGCACCATGTTAGAAATTTCACAAATATTATCAATAATCCTCACAACCCAGACATGTGTTACTACTTACATTTGACAGATTTAAAAACTGAGTCCCAGAGAGGTACTATCAATTCCCTGGGTTCACAGGACCACGAAGTAGCACAGGAAATGCTGAATACAAAATCCATGGATGGACTTAACAGATTTAAAATGCAAGTAATGACTCTCTCTGCTCCATTTCCAAAGACTGTAAAATTTTTGAGATTTTGGGGTTTGGTTATGTAGTAATACCATTCTCCTAGTCTAACAATCCATAACAATAACAGGTAACCTCATAATTATGATGTCATGGTATTCCTCTCTGCCTCACTCCCACATCTAGCCCCTTAACGTAAGGGAACAGGTAGGAAGAACAAGAACTAGTAGGGAAAGGGAAAACACACAACCCTGACATCTTTTCTTTCTTTGCATTATTATTTTTAGCAATAATAAGGCACCTAGATAGCCAAGTCTCTTCCATTCGAATATGAAGAAATACCGAGTAAACTAAAAACTTTATTCAGCAACCAACCCCTCGATCAGCCCCCATGTTGCTTTTTCTCAAAGATATACTTTCTAGGAAAGAGACTTCTCTGAAAGAATTGACAAATATGTAATTTGGTTTTTATAATGGTGTCATATACTTTTGTCAAATGAAAAAAAAAGTGTGTTTTTAGTTCAATTTACATTTGGGAAGCATCTTTGTGGGAGGGAGTACATTTCACAAGAATTAACCTGGCCACGTGAAATAGGCAGACATGGCCTCAGTCACAGGATCCTTCCTGGGTCCCAGTCTCAGCTTTATCACTTAAAACTTTCCCAAACCTTGGGTTCCCACCAACCAGCTCTCAAGAATAATGCTGCTGTGAATAGTTGGTAGAAACTGCTGGATCCGTTATTAATTTTGTTGTGTACACCTAGGAGCAGAACTGGTGGGTGCTCCAATAATTCTATGTTTAAATTTCTGAGGAACTGCCAAACTATCTTCTACAGCTGTCATCATCATTTTACGTTCCCACCAGTAATGCACAAGGTTCCAAATTCTCCCTATGATCTCTGACATTGGTTATTTCCCAGTTTAATTATTGTAGTTGTGTTAAGCATTTGTGAAATGGCACCTCTTTATGGTGGTTATTTGCATTTTCCTAATCACTAAATATGCTTAACATCTTCATAAAAGCTACTTCTCCTTATAGGACAATCTATGCTGGTTTTGTTTTTTTTTTTTCAGTGATTATAGTGTTATCCACATACAAAGGCAGGTAAAGGACAAAAGGATCATTTTCCTCTTTGGGCAACAGGTTAATTACTTCATCACAATATGTTAGAAATGATGATGTATCAAGAGAGCTTGGCGAAAAAGATTTCAGCCTCCCTTATTCTATCCAAATTAAAGTATATTTGGAGATACTCCTGCTTTCTCCCTCCATATAGAATTCCTTAGCTGTCCAAAAGTTCCAGCCCTCTAGGTAAAGGCTCACATGGTTTCTGATGGCATAAGGGGTGGTTAGTACTTTCTGCTGTGTCTCACTAGGTGACTATTCCAGGGTGGATTCTCAACACCTTTTGTGACATACCTCAGAGCCAGCACTGAACCAGTGGCATGTGATCATTATACTCTTCAACAGAATTTGCAAGACATAGTCTTACTGCATTTTACAGCATTTTAAAG